ATATTATTACCTTATTGAAACACTATATCGTCTTTGTGTATAAAACCAATTACGTAGAAATAGAGCAAAAGACGGTCCTTGCAGCTGGATAAAAACCTGCCGAAGGCTGTCAATTGTCCACCAAATCACCAGTGACTTGTACGAGTAGAAACAAAAAGGAAACCTCGTAACTATTACATGTCATATACAGGGTGCCCATTATGTATAGAATATAGTATATATCTCGGAAAATAACGAATGTATAACAAATGTTGTTATATAAAAGTTATGTAACACAAATTTTGCATACGCAATGCCTTTAGTGGTGCCAAGTTAAACTTAGAAAATAAGGGGGGGGGGGGCGGGTAAACACATGTTCTACCCTTCATGTTATTCTAATGAAAGGTCTCATCGAAATAATTAGTTTGTAGAAACTATAACTAACGAAAGGAACCGTTTTCTACCAACTACTGCTCTTCTTTCTGTCCTCTTATCAAAGTACGGGGGGGGGGGGGATAGCCTTCCTCCTCGACCTCTTATCGTGATTGGGTATATTCCCTTTCCCTTATACCTCAAGAACGGATTGTCGGAAGAGGGTACTCACAAAGGACGATTGAGACGTCTGCAAAAAATATATCCATGGGTGATGTCAAAACAAAAGCTATTTCGGTTAAAAAAATGCGCTTTATCTGCACAAGAGTTTATTTATAGTTGTTTTAAATGGCAGTGCACCTTTTCATTAGGCTCATTTGATAGAGATTTTTTTCTCTTTTCGATGATGTAACGCAAAGAGAGAAATTGCTGCAGCAAATATTTTTAGTTTCGTATTGTCTTCAAGAAACGTAGACGTTCATTTGTTTTATTTTGATGTAGGATATCTAGATTAATATATTGATGTGTATAATAATTTTTATTTTTATAAAGGGTTCTAATATGTCACGTCATCGAACAGAAAAACAAAAATTCTATCAAATAAGCGTAATGAAAGGGTAGATTGCTATTTCAAAAAATTCAATTGTTTTTCGTTGCTCATTTGTTTTCTGAAATAAGAACAACTGAATGCTGCCTTATTAAGGGAAATAAAATGTTAAACAACTTTCTTATAAAAAGATTTTGTATAGGTACAGTCGATATTTCCCAAGATATATACTACAGAGTGAGCAACAAAGATTGAAGCGTGCCGCTTCAGCTAAATTGGCAATGTGCCGCTCATAGCATATGCTGATTTGATACAAGATACGAAATACGAATAGACGCACGTCACTCTGACAGCGCAGAACGTCATTTTCGTATACAACTCCATACAAAGAAGGTAGTTTTGATATTAATAGGAACAAGCGGTGATGACGCACGCTTCAATCATTGTTGCTCACACTGTATATTACATACATAAGGGCCACGCTGTACATAGACTTATAGATTCATTCATATTTATATCGTCTTGAGAATTTTTCTTCTAATTTATTCACTGAGTTAGTGACAGGGTGTGCTGATGAACACATAGGTATGGAGAGGTGACATCGAAGGAAAGTTAAGGTAAAGTGGTAGCGCCAATAAATTTATTCGTGTGTTTTATGCTTTGGCTATTAGCCAAGTTGGTGTTGCAGCGTTGTCTACAAGGACACTCTGTTTACGAAGTAGGTAAAATCTTATAGATTTAATTACGTCAAATTAAGATTTGAATGCTACAAGAAAAATTTGAGTATTTTGTAGATTGGAGTTTTAACAAAGCTATTAAGAAAAGCTGAATCTCTGGTTTCGTAAAGATATCAACCTTTGCAAAAAATTGAAGCCGTTTTGTATCGCATGTATTTTGCCACTGATGACTCACTAGAATTGGAGTTGAAGAATAAATCGGTTTTCTTTCATTTAAAGTTGAATCGTCCAGATATCAATAAAGAGAACCTTCAAATGAGTGGGTCCATTATGATTATTTTTTAGATGAACTGAATATAAAAGATTGTGCCGTATAATGTTATTACTCATTATATTAGATTCGAGATCAAGTTAAGGGAAATCCACAAAGACCGTGGCCACGAACTTGATCTATTTAGTTGTTCTGAAGTTTTATAGCGAAAATTAGAAACACGATATCCTGTAAAGAGTGTAAAGGGAAATGTAAAATGGAAGCTTTTCACTATTTGGTTTTTTTCATCAAGCAATCAAAGCACATCTTTGAAGTTTCAGAAAAATCGAAAAGAAAAGTAAGTCACCGTAAAATTTGCTAGCCGTTGGTCCGTTAATTATTTTGTTAGAGAGTTCCAAAGTTCACTCAGAAAGTTACTAACATTTTATTGCAAAGAAGTGAGGTTCAACCCCCTTTATATGCAAATCTGTTGCGCTTTACTATTTGGTCACCCGGTACGTTACTTCCATTTTAATATGTACAAAGCGATCCAAAGGAATAGATTATCGTACATATTATTTTAAGTAACAATTTGATGTTCCTACTAACAGAGTCTCAAGGATAGGTATTACTTAATTGTTCTTATTTTCTGCGTTCTCAAGACAATGTCAGAATTGCCACCACATTCTCGTACTCGACTGTTAACTAAAATTGCACTTAAGCTCAGCGTAGGTGTATATGAACAATTTTCTTTAGTATACCGAGTGTTCACGATAAAAATGAACACACAACACCAGGATTTCGAATATCGTAAAACTAAAAAAGGTGCATTGAGGAAGTGTCTGTTATTTGTTTTTTTAAGTAACCTCAAAATGTAATAATAAGAAATCACGATATTTGACATTTTTTTCGAATATCTCGGGAAGTAAGCATAATTTTGTAACTGTCTAAACGGCATTTTATTGACCTCTTAAATCTGTCACTTTTTTTGCCAGTAAACCGGATTTGTAACGGTTTTCGATTCCGAGATTCCCATGTTGTTCATTTTCATCTCGGACACATGGTAGGGATATCAGATATGACGATTTAAAGCATTTTTCCGGGGTTTTTATGTGCGAATTGTCCGGGTACGAATTATCCGGAAGCGAAATGTTCGGGTGAAGTGTCATATGAAACATTTCCAGCAACGTGATTATACGTCTTTCGCTATAAAAACCGATGCACGTCATTGATTTATGAATCAATTTCAGACAAGTTTTCTATAGATTTCGCACACTTGTTTTTTTTTGTACATGTTGCAGTGTTGCAGCATATGTCTGAAATTGATACACAAATCAATGACGTGCAACGGTTTCTATAGCGAAAGACGTATAGCACAAAATTTCAATGCATGTAGCACAAATTAGCACAAAATATGAGCAAAGGTGTCCCGGTCGACCCTTCAATTCTAGGGAGACTTAAAATATACTGAAAAAAACAAAAATCGAGAAACCATATCCTTGGTAAAAAACGCAAAACCGATTCTACCAGGGTTAAGTGTCGGCTAATCGACATTTCAGATTTAGACTCGACAGGTAAGCTAACCAAACTTTATAACCAATGGTCAATATTCAATAATTTTACTTGATCGTATGTAGCAATGGGCAATTTTAGATAATCGGGGGCCGTATCCCGTTATTTGCGCAAGTATTTAAATGATGGTTTTTATCGGTACAGGAAATGGCATTAAACGAAAACACGCAATAGATGTCTATAAGGTAGTTAAAGGTAGGTATAAGTAAATATATCTGCAAGAGCTCCACAAGGTAAATAAAACTGGACATAAAATTTAATTGTGGGTATTAAAATTTGTGCTGAGTGGTTTTTAACTTCTGGTTGGTGTTTAGGAGAGAGCCGCATACAAAGTATTAAAAAGATGAAATGGTAAACGACATCGACTGACCCGTTCCATAAAATGATGATAGTAGCGAAAGATGAATAACCTAAGTTACAAGACATATAAAACCAGTGGCACCAATAAACGCCTACCGAAAATTGTTAAATGTTAATGAAACAATTACCAAATACTTAAAAAGTCACTAAACATATTTTACGAGCTGGTAGTTAGCGAGTACAAGCATTTAAAATACGCTAAGTGAAGTTTAGTGTAAGAGATGGTAAAGTTGACACTCTTGGTACAAGACATGGTCATTCGCGTGTCCAAAGCCGCCAGTCTCGAATAAAAATCACTAAATTAGGGGAATTAGAGCTCTCATTAACCGATACATAGCTCGATTGGACCCAGAAGAGCAATGGTAATGACTTATAGAAAAAGAAACTAGTTTACTCAATGAATATTCAAAGCTTTTAACAACTTTGGTAGATTCCAGCGGATTCCCAAATTTATTATCTCCTCTAATTGACAGTTGTTTGTTTAATTTTTATAGATTTCGAATTGGTACATCAATCCTCCGGTACGTTGCCTATACCATTGTACGGACAAAAATATTTTAAAAGTCTGTCGAAGTTAACATTTATTCATTCAATCAATATCGGAAATGATACACGTACTATCTAAATGACAATCATACATCAATGTTGTTCTTTATCGAGCCGACGAATATGGAACCTCTTCGTGGAGGTCCAATAGAATCGACCAGTCATCCTCTTCTGCAACGATTATACTCTGACCGAATTTTTTTCCATCTGTCTTTACACATCAAAGCTTATATATTTTATACGTCTTATTGTTAGTTGTGATATTTCTATTGTCAGTTGAAATTTGATATTTTTAATCTTCGGCATTAATAAAAAAAAATGTATTGAATATAAATTTGATTGTTCGTAGGAACTCTTTATAATAATACACGCGTGTACATATAGCAGAGAAGATATTAACGTTGACAAGACGATGAAAATAAATAATAACAGAATGGAAAGGAGACGCCGCGACCGAATACGTTACGAAAATGGGCACGAGTTGCCAATTTTGTTTCTTGCACATGCCGTCAAAGATTCTTTCTTTTAATGATTCTAATTAAAACTTAATTAATACATTCTTGCATCAACCGAGGACGGTGTTTTCGCAATTTTGTGACAGTTGGTCAGTACTGCCTACCGTCAATTTAATGATGTTTGTATATAACTGGAGGCCCATAAATTAGTGGCACTGGGTACTAACCGAAACGGTACTTACTTAGCGTAATCCGCTTTGCAGTAGACTGCTCTGTCTCGTATAAAGCACGACGGTTGACGATCTAATTGTAATTGACATACGCAGCACCTCAGACATCTGGTGTGCCAACTTCTTCCTGACACTTCCAATAAAAATTTATCACCGATTGGTTCTCCGCACGCTGCACATAAACGAAACTCTGTCTGAAAAATAGAAAATGGCAATTAGTATCTTTCCTTCAGTTTTTCAAGAAGAATAATTCAATTTAATTTTAGGAAATTTCCCGGAAAGCAGCGTTTTAAACACCTTTCAAGAGAATTTTTAAAGAGCGGTTGTATTAAATTTCAAGATAATTTCATGAGAATTTCAAAAGTAAGATGTTACAAGAGGCTGTAGAAGGCAAATCTAGTAATACTAAGACTAAAAACAGTAGGGAACCACAGTTGGATTCTTGTGCAACTCCTGACGAAAATGGAATAAATTGGTCAACTCATTTTCTATGGAAGAAAGGAAACAAGAACGTTGAAAATTTGCAAGGCGGGGCACCTAAGAGGATTCTGTGACCGGTCCGTGCAGAGCACAGCTGAGGAGGCAATTTCAATTTCACGTCGATGAAACAATTAGCGAGAAGTTTATAAGCGATCCGTGCATCCTTTTTATTCTGATTGGAAGTTGTAACCAGAACGCATCTAAAACTCCTGGTGCACGATCACTAGTTTTAGTTAATTGCGTCTTAGTATTGACACTTTTCGTAGTTTCCCGTCATATGAGAATATAACAGCGTTGTAGTTATTTGGTATTTAAGTACCAAACAGTTTAAAAAATATTTTGTTTAAGCGCCATTTAATGTCGTATATTTGTGTAAAAGAGATTTAACCATCCACTTGCGCTTTTGCTTTAAGTTGGTGTTTTTGTAGTCGCCATTTGCGTGTAATGTTTTAGATCCGCGCTTAAAATTTCTCAAAATGTATTGCGTATTGCAGTTTGCTCTATTTTTAACGCATTTTTGAAAAAAATACGCTATTATATTCGTTATTGCTGGCAGGCCGGCTGTCCGCGTTAGATCTTCACAACTACAATAGCTAGAGACTTCAAATTTTCACTAAAAGCTTTCTGCTATAGTGTAGATGTGCAGGCACTAGTCTATTTTGAGTTAGATTACTTGTGAGATCGATAATTGAAGAAAATAATTTCGATATGGGTTTCGAAGGTGCTATAATTTTACCGTTAGATAGCGCTACCAGTATAAAAACTTATTATTTACTTTGTGATTTGTTTTACAAAATGAAGACGTACCGTCAATTGAAATTAAATAAAATTAATTATTTAACGCAGCCAAAATTACTCCTGAGATCGATAATTTTAAACTTCGCTAATAAAATACTGACCTGCATTACCAAAAATGCGCTTTAATCATGCATATGCTGATTTACAACTTGTTTATTGTATAGGGTGTTTGTAAAAATACAATTAATTTTCTTTTAGCACCTGACATACATTGAGTGACTTACCAAAAATGTTAGTCTATTGCAGCAGAGATATCTTAAAGAAAATAAGAACCGTTTCAAGTATTATTGTAATTGTAATTATTGTAATTTATCCACCTTTATCCTTTTCCTGAAGAGGCCAGAAGAGGTTTACTAACAGCTAGCCGGCGCACTCTACATATAATTACATAACAAGAACCACCCGCTTGTGATATCCATCCTTATGGTTAGGGAACACCTTTACATCTGAAACAAAAATGTGATATGCTCTGTATATAACCACTCGACCGTTTTGCGCAGATGCCGAATATTATGGGATTTTCGAAACGAAACTAGGAGAATGAAGAGGATGGCGACGAGGTCGACGGAATGCATCACGCGTTCAGGTTTGTAATACTGTACAGATGATTATGCCATTATTTTGTTTAATTAAGTACTTATTTCTGTATCCACGAGGAGTTGATTATCGATGCGATGTTGCTCTGTCCGACTGATCCGTAACTATTCCGTGGGGGAAGTCCTAATACAGTTGATTGTTCGGTGTATCTGTTACTTTCTGATTCGTGCGGCTATTTTATTTTAATGTTTCGATGTTTGTGTTTGCGAGTAGGTCATTCTGTCTCCGTGGAGTAGGTACCTAATACAGTTCGACCTGTCGCTGTATCTGTTGCCTACTCGTCTCGTGCGGATTGCAGTTCTTAGCATCTTAGCAATACGAGTAGGGACCCTCTCATTAACATTTCCACTATTTAAAATATGTTCTGCTTGAGCGATAATCGATTTTCACATGAATACTTGCTATTGCCCAATGGCATTTTCACATGTACTTTTCGTGTTAAATTAAATGATGTTAACGGAAGGCTGGAGTAGAGCCACACCATTTACATGTTTCCTATGTACATGCAATTTATTATTTTACGAGTTGTGTTAGCTCAATTGATCGTACAGGTATTTTGATGTGTTTTTGTCCTGAATTGATTTATCATGTTTTCCACTGCATTTATGATGTCTTGTGTATTTTGTTTTTTTGAACTTGTTTAATTGCATTTGATTTGATTATCTGATTTTTATCTATACAGTTTGAGATGTTTTATTTATGTGTGTTTTCTCTTGCATTTTATTGCTGTAGGTGGTTTATTTCATGTATTTATGTGGCCTATGCCGGGGTTTTAGTACCGTAGAAGGTTTCCCTGGCATGGTCTTCTGTGTGCGTAATATATTTATTTGTTCTTGTCATTTCTTACGCACAAAAGTTCTGTATTTTATTTAATTCCCTTCCCGATTATGTCTCACGTCCCAACACATATAAGAACCGATTACACAACGTAGGAGTTCAATCGTGCCATCCCTATCGAGCCGATTGCCATCCAAATTCAAAAGTGCCGCGAAACGTCCATCGTTTCAATTTGAAAGGTAGATGGCTCTGCTTGTAGTTTTTTTCCAACGGTAAGTATAGGGTAAGTCAATGTTTGTCGTGTCGGCTTCATAGACCCCTAGGAACATTACACGCTATTTAATTATGTTGTATCAAGAATAGCCAGAGGTAGGAGGTGTAGAGGAATTAAAGTTGTAACATCCGTTATAATACCACAAAACACACCAGCTTTTGGTTGTATTATACTCCACATAACTGCACCAAGACTGACAGGTCTACTACAATCAGTTAAGGTTGTGCACGTCAGATGGCGCATGTGCACACTTAGGTACAACTTCAAGGTCAGAAGATACTAAAACTACAAACACCGTTCAAAGTCCAAAGGTTTGTTACCAGCCAAGGTCCAAAAATTCCTCACCGTTCAAACGTTGCTTATCAAAGTGATGATGAGGTGTGTGATCAAGGTCAAGTTTAAAGTTTCTTCATATGGAATCCTATTAAACGATTGTGCTGTACCTAAAATTTGGATTTGAAGAATCGAGAAATTCAAACAAAGCCAAAAATTTTACGAACCTAATAGAGCTTAAAGTCTAAAATTTAAAAACATTTAAAAAGGAATCTAATGTTCGGAAGCATTGAATGAAAAAGTCTACGAATCTGAAGTATAGAGTATAGAGAAATTTAGAAAATCTGAAGAACTTTGCGGTTCTAAACAATTTGAAAAGAAAGAATACCAATATATGAGAATCTGAAAATTTGAATGATCCCAAGAAACCGGATTATCCGATGTATCTTAAGAATCTGAAGTATCAGATGAATCAGAAGAGACGAGGTGAGATCTAAAGAAACAGAAAAGAATAGAAGAAAGTATTCCTTTTATATCACATTAAACTTCTGCAGTTTTTTATTTTAAATTCCCTTAAAATATTCTTTTTATGAACATGTTTCTTACATTCCTGATTCTGATACTTTTCATAAATTCTCATGAAATTTTTTAAGTTTAATTGAAACTCCTCAGGTTCTCTTAAAACTCTCGAGGTTTCCTCTAAAACCGTCTCTTTGAAATCCTTGTAAACTTTTAATTCTTTTAATTTTTCATTGGAATTATTCTTTGGAAAATACTTCGTACCTAAATTCCCATGACATTCCTTAGTAATAATTGAATTTTGCAATGAAATATCTTTACAATTTTTTTGAAATCCCTCGAAATTCTCTAGTACTCTCTAAATTTTCCTAGAGGTATTTGGATAAGATTCTCTTGAAATTCTCTTCAATTTTCTTCGCATATCCTCCTGAACGTTTTCTTAAAATTTTTTAGAAATTCAATTGCAAATGTTTTTTATACAAATATCATCTTGTGTGTAAAAAAATATTCTGGCCTTTAAAATGATGTCACTCTTGGGGAGTGCATATTACACTTTTAAAGTGGGGGTCGCTGGGGCGCGCGTGGATGCTAAAAGTAAACTTCCCTTTTGTTTTTCTGTACCAAAATTACAAATTACAATCGGTGGTTTGTTTTGTAGGTATGTCTGGTTCTCGCAGTATCCATTCAAAAAGTGTCCACTGCATGTTAAAATGCAAGTTATTATAATGTTCTTCTTTGTTTTACCTCCTTTCACGTTCCGGGTAGGTAATATGTAGGTATCTTAGACTAGGTAAGTGAATATAAATCGAGATTCGAAACAAGAAATCTTTTGGAAAAATTAGGTGTAAAATTGGCGACGATCAAACAGTGACACAGACACGATGTCGCCAGTTACACAATAATGTTTAGAGAATAACAAGAAAGGAAAAACATTAAACTCGACTAGAAGCTATTTTAAAAACAAGCATAAAAGGTAGAAATTTCTTGTCACCTCGAAATATATCACTTTCGACACAATAAAACGTGACACAAAGGGCGAGCCTCTTGAAAATACAAATGTCGGTTATTTTTCTCAGATTCACAAAGTTTTTGGGACACACTTCATGGTTTACGTTGAGAGAAGTTCAAGAAGCGTGAAAGCCGATTTTGTATAGCATGCTCGTGCCCTCCCGGATTGTTATAATCAGATTATAAATACTTCTTGACCACATTTTAACTTTAGAATAAAAACCCTCTGTTGTGAGTCGTAACTTCCTTGTAGTAGCAGCCTCTAATCCGTTTTAATATTTATTCACTTCGTATCTTTCAATATAATCTTGTTATATAAGAACATGATGCGACAGATAAATCTAAATATTTATCTTTTATACGGACAGCCTTTCGATTTTGATGATTTATTTTGCATCCGATACCGGAGTGACAGGTTACGTAATTGGTGGCAATTGTCCAGTCATTTTTCTGGATTTTTTCCTCGTA